ATCCCATTCTTGTATTATCATACACAAATTTGTCGGTTGGGGTTTAAGACTAATAATGCAAGGCAGAAACAAAACTTTTATTAATAATAATGAAAGGCAAAAATAAGAGGTAATACTCAAGAAAAATGGATAGCAACATTTAAAGCTAATCCATTCTCATGTATACATTTTCAACAAATAATGAAGTTGAACCCATTCTGATTACTATTCTATTCATTAAAGAATCCCTAATTCACTTAACAAACACATAAAAAACACTTTCATTAATGCAAGGAGCAAGAAATTAGAGGTCACCACCAGCACCAAAGCCTCCACCTGAACTAGCTCCACCACCTCCTCCACCACCACCAAATCCACCACCAGCCATTGTTTCTATCGGATAACCAATCCTTGTTGACTTCCTAAACTGGCAACCCACCGTTGATTCTGCTAATTGAACCACCGACAGGCAACAACCACAACCACAACCTGTTGCTGCTGCTGCTGCAGTTGCGCCCTCCACCAGCACTACAAACCAATCGCTAGACGACCCATCTTCCTCCAGTATTCTGCCTCACCTACCTCAGCTGCAGCCCAAATTGTCGACCGCCTTCCCCAATCGCAAGTCCCCACTCCAACCGCCACCATCGCAAAGCCAAATACAACTGATCCTCGGCCACCATCGCAAAACCGCCACCAAGCAACATCATAAACAAACCTCCAATTTCCATTTCCCAAAATTACTAAACGACACCTCCCTTACATCTACTTTCTGTCAAGCCTTCCAATCGAATGCCCCTTACAGGTTAGCCTTTCGGCTATTTGAGGGTTTTTTAAGGTAGATGTTTAAGATCTCCATGAAATGAAAATAAGAAGAGTGAAGATGAACGGAGACGGAGGAAGACGTCGACGAAATCGACGGAAAATGGTCGGAAACACAGATTTTAGGTTGAGGTTTCTCAGAGATGGAGGAAATCGACTTTGAATAGGAAGCATTTCTAAGGATGAGGAATGGGTATCTATTGGGTTTCTGGAGAAGGATGAGTGAGTTTTAGTTAATAGTT